GATGAGCTGACCTGGAATGTCCACATCTATCTCCATTACTCCCTTTCAAGGGGTCAGAAGAGAGTGCTTCAGGGTCTGTGTAGGGACTTTGAATTGACCTTGTTGAGCATGTTGGAATGACTAGATTGTCTGTAGTTCCTGTGACCAGTCTAGCAAGCACCAGCCCCGCGTGGCTCCTGAGAAGTTGGAGCTCAGGCTGTCTAGCTAAGTCTGAGTTGCTTAGGCAGGATGGGCAGGGCAGGGGTAAAGTTGGGGACTGTGCTGTGACAGATGCAACCTGGCCTCAAAGCCTCACAGCCTCCACTGAAGCTGCTGGATCCAGCCAGCTGGGTGCTTTGGTAGCAGCAGCATCTTTGATGAACACAGTGAAGCTCATTTGCTTGTGCTTTCCTCCCCGCTCTCACAGAAGCAGACACAGGGCACAAGGGTCACTAGAAATACGGTTGAATGACTATGGAACAGAGTCCCCAAGGGCCATCACACCAATAAGATGTGGCCCCTGGCATGGCTGGGCACATCTCAACAATAGAATACATTCATACTGGCACCTTGTATCCTTATTTGTTAAACCCTCCTATCAGAGTCTAGCTAATCAAAGAACACTCCCTCAAATGTTTATGAGTGCCCAGAACTCACTGGGGACTTCATTTCTGGCAGGTTTTCTGGGAAATCTTGAGCCATAGTTGGACTAGTAGATTGAATGCCACAGGGAAGTGTTGTACAAGTAGCTTTAGGAGCCATGTAAGGACTTAGGTCTGCATCCAAGCTGAGGTGGTACCTTTGGACAACAATGGGAACATTTATTTATACCTCCTCATCCGATGGGGAAGCCAGCAGCCATGCATGGCTACTAAACACTTGTAACACATTCAGTGCAACAGAAGATGGGGACTTGTAATTTCGTTTTAATTAAATTAAATTCTTACTTGTGGATAATAAATGGCATATCAGATAATGTCGCTTTAGAAAGTGTCTCAAGACTGTGGTTCATGAAAGAACTCATTTGAAGGAATGGCTGCCCATTTCCTGGGAGAACCAAGAACAGTGAATTTGAGATCCCTTTGAAAAAGGCACACTTCAGGCTGGAGAGATGGCTTAAGAGTACTTCCTGCTCTTTCAGGGGACCTGGTTTGGTTCCCAGCACCTACATGATGGTTTCTCAACTGCTTGTAATTCTAGTTCTGGAGGGTCTGATGCCCCCTTCGCATCTCCACAGGCTCCTTACATGGTATATATATATATATATATATACATATACATACTCAAGCACACACACATACACATAAAATAAAAGAAATAAATATTTAAAGAGAAGAAAAGTTTGAAGTAAATGACAGTAACGCCCATTTACATATCTTTGGTTTGGGCACAAGTCTCCGAAAAGCTTTGGGGCTCCAAGAGAGTCTAGTTGCTAGCCCTGGGAATCTGTCTGAACCATGTATCTAGTTCAGTTTTGTCATCTCCTTAGCCATGTGACCTTGGACTTGTTCCCTTTCCAACCTTGGCACGGTCTCAGATGCCCAAATTCCTCTACATCTGAGAACCAGCACTGCCCACCCAACAGAAGGTACCCTGGCAGGGGAGGGCTATCCAGCTGGGCACCGTTGACCTGGCTTACACTGGCCCAGCCAAGGCAGAGAGTAAGGCTACAGTGAGGAGCTGGGAAATGGATAGGGGACAAGGAGGAACCATGTGTTTATTGCAGGTCTTGATTTCTCCTAGCCAGTCTGGGGTACAGCTAGGGCTCACTCTGAAGTCAGAGATGGCCCTGGAGGGTCTTGAGGGAACTTTGGTGCCACAATCCAGGTCTCCATTCATTATCTGCTCTTTTTTAGGGTTGTCCCTGAAGGCATGACATAGATATTTATTGAAAGTGAATCATTCTCCATGTGCTTTGGATGGGTAGAAATTTTATCCCTTTCTCTCACTGGGCACATGGGTGGGGACACCAATATCTCAGCTCCTGAGCTGTAGAATGTTTCTAAGAGTCTGTACTCTACCTCAGAAGTGTTCCCTAGACAGTCCACTCAAACACTCAGTGTTCCCTTTAGTAAAGTTCAACACATATTTCTAGAGACAATGGAAGAAACTTCTGGAGATATCACAACAGGTGTTTTTGCCATCCTCTGGCTGTGTGACCGTGAGGAAATTATTTAACTTCTCTGGGCCTCAGTCTGTTAATGTGTCAACTGCAGATAAGGACAGCACTTGCTTTATTCAGTTATTATTTCAGCGAAGGGCAGGACAAAGGATGTCTGTAGAACACTCAGAACAGTATCTGGCACAAGGTGACTCCCATTGTTAGTGTTCTCGTTGCCATTTGATGTGCTCGTAACCTGGGATGGAGACAGCCATCACTTCTGAATCACAGGCACCACCAGTTTAAAATCAGAAGGGTATACAGTACATCAACTTGCTCTGAGAGGTGGTAGGCGATCAAGATAAATGGCTGGAAGAAGTTGGACCTGGCTACATTAACTCTAAGAGTCCAGCTAGGCTCATCTCATAGCAGCCATACGTGGAGGGGCTTTGGTAGCTCATTGCAGCCCACTTTGGATGCCTTTCTGACTGGTTGGGCCAGACTGGACTATTGTGCAGTGATCCACAGGCTGGCCTCTCTCTCTTGCTCACTTGTTCACTTGCTAGCTAACTTTCCATCTCTTCTCTCTCAAATGATTCAACCTAGCATCTCCAGCTAGGAATCTTGAAGTGTCAGTGCAGGCCCTGCAAGGTGCACCCTGTTCCTCACTGTTCCTCAGATTTAGATAAGGAAAGAGACTCAGCCAAGGTCACAGAAACCATGAGGCTTAGAGCAAGCACTATACCCTGGAGCCCCTGTCATCAGAGACCAAGATAGGTGTCTGCCACAGGCTGCTGGTGCTCCTGATTGCCCCCAGGGGTTCATAGTGGCATTCTCTCTGTTGAGGCTGGCGTTCTTCCAAACATACTCCCAGCTTCAGGGGCTCCCTTCCCCAAGGACTGGCTCTCCTTCTGGCTCTGTGCAGAACCCCCTCCCACGCCCGCCCTGCTCCCATCTGCCTGCCTCACCTCCTCTGTGCTAGAGCATGGCTGCCTTCCACTCAAACCACCTGGCAGGGCTGGGATTGGACCAGGTGGAGCTGATCAAGACTGCCTGTGCCCTTGGCCTTCTCCTGCCTCAAGGCTAGTAGCAGGCAATCAATGCCCCAGGACCACAAGTGCCCAGTTCCTTCCGACTGACCAACTGGCTGTCCTGGTGCAGACTTGAGGGGTCAGCTTCACCTTTGGCTCCTCTGCTAGGCCTAATCTGGGCCCCAAGGGAACTTGACAGCCTCGCAGACCACTCCTCCAAGGTCCCCTCTCCAAACCAGGGAATCTTAGTTTCCTTGTCAAGGGAGGATGGTGGTGGTGGGTGTAAATACTTCAGTTCATAAATATGGTTGATGGAAGGCTCCACCAGGGGGTCCAGGAGCCTGCATAGAACCATGTGTGGATGCAGGAGGAGCTCGGGAAGGGGGTGATATGGCATTATTTATACATACAACCCATAGATATACAGAAGCATCCCCAGCTATCTGCTCAAACAAAACAAAGAGACCTTCATCTATGCCCTCAGTGTACTGATAAGTCTCTCCCCTCCTGAAGCCTCAACGATCTTGTCTGTGAAATGGGGACAGAGATCAAAGCTTTTCATCTTATTAGTGAGCCTGTAGATCTAGCAGAATCAAGGTCATGAATGTGCCACACAAAAAACCAAATGCCCACTCTGTCAAGCCTGTGCCAGGCACCTGGAAAGCCCATGTAGATTAAGAATCAAACCTTTACTTTAAATGGTCACATAATAGAAGGGGCAAGGGTAGAGATCCAGATCCCAGAACTATGGATGGGGGTGTATGTGCAGGTGGTATCTGCAGGATGCGGCCAAAACCCTTGTGGAGAGCTAGGGGAGACTGGGATGGAGACTTGATTATGTAGCAGCCCACTTTAGGCCAGAAACTCAAGGCCCCATCTGTGAAAGAAGTAGTAGCCTCCTTCAGGGTCTGGTCTTGGAGTGGCAAACATTCTGTGGGAAGGGGGAGATCCTGGCCCTGCCTACCTTGCAGCAGGAGAGTGAAGGAAGTGCGCTTGCATACTCCCATACCTTCCTTCCCTGAGCCCTTGGCCAGAGCTCCGACAGGGAGCTCCTGCCTGCCTGTCCTGCCCAGGTGAGGCACCAAGACCCTGACCCCGGACCCTGCCTTCTGCCTCTCCCTGTTGGCTGAATCACTAAGCCCCATAGTGGCTCACAGGAGAGGGAGACCAGGTCATAGAGAGAGGAGCATGTCTTCCTGGGCTCCAGAGATGATGCCAGTGGCTCCACATCCTGGAATAGCAGAGCTGGAGCCTTCAACCCCAAGAACACCGAGCTTCCCCATCACAGAAACCCTCTGGCCAAGGTCACACAGGTGAGGAGAGGAAGGCAGCTGTTGGCAGAGATAAAGGACTTGTTCAATGTGCCTCTGCTACTTGCGGGTGGCACTGTCCATGCCAGTAGGGTCAGCTGGGCAGCTATGTGGGCGTGCAGAGAACAGTGTAGGAACATGTGAGGGGGAGGATGATACAGTGCAGGGAGGCAGGGGGAGGGGTTGCCTCGAAGCCCTGGGAAGGTGTGTGCGCAGGGGCTAGACTCTTGGCCCAGGCCTGGCGCCCCTGGCTATGCCTGCCTGGAGCCCCAGCCCACAGCCCGCAGCCCCCAGCGGCCTTGTTCCCTAGACACAAATGCGCGTGCGCGCGGGATGCTAGGTGCAGGGTGCGGGTGCGGGTGCGGGGCGCTGCCCGCCAGCTCTGAGGCCCCAGGGTGACGCGCACCCATACTGCCGCAAGGACAGGCAGGCAAGGCCCTTAAGGATCAGGTGCCTTGGGGCAGGATCCTGCGTACCCCCCACCTGCCGCCGCGCCACCTGCTGGGCCGCTCTCTCGCCCCCGCCTGCTAACGCGCCCACCCCTTCCGCGCCCGCCTGTGCGCCCCGGGCACCACTTACCCCGGCATGCACACAGCCGCCACTGCGGCCTCTGCTCTGGCTGTCGCTGTTGCTGCGGGAGGGCGCCTGGCGGGCAACAATCCGCTCCAAGGACGGAAGGGCCCGGGCACGCGGCGGCCTGACCAGCAGTGCGGAGCAGGACCCTCCGCAGCAGGCGAGGGCTGTGGCCGAGTGCTCCCCACGCTCCGCACCAGAGGCGGCGACGCTGTGCGCCCGCTCAACTCCAGCCGCAGCTCTAAGCACGAAGGGAGGGAGGAAGGGGTGGGGGAGGGAGGGAGCTGGTGGTGGTGGTGGTGGTATTGGTGTTAGTGGTGGTGTTGGTGGTGGTGGTGGTGTTGGTGCTGGTGGTAGTGGTGGATGGTGGAGGAGGAGGAGGAGGAGGAGGAGGAGGAGGAGGAGGAGGAGGAGGAGGAGGAGGAGGAGGAGGAGGTGGTGGTAGTGGAGGAGGAGGTGTTGGTGGTGTTGGTGGTGGTGATGGTGCTAGAAGAGGAGGAGGAGGAAGAGGAGGAGGAGGAAGAGGAGGAGGAGGAAGAGGGGGAGGAGGAGGAGGAGCGGATGGAGAGGCAGTGCACTGGCGAACAGGCTCTGGGGACAAGGTGCTCCTGAGCCTTGCGCCCGGTGTGCGCCCTTCTGTCCCCAGGATGTGAGGGAATGCCAGCACTTCCTAGCCTGGCATGGCCCTCCAAGGACACTGGCAGAATAGCGATGGGCGTGGTTGGAAAGTGGGGCTGATAAACTGCTGGTGAAGAAAGCCCCCGCATATGACTGGACAGCACCTCTCAAGACCCTCTACCCTTGGAGTTTGGAGCTGATTTGTAGCTTGGGGTCTCCGGGCTCTTGGTGGGCTCCTGTGGTTGATGGTTGTCTGAAACCGCCTGGTAAGCATTGGGAGTGCAGGCATTCAAACACATTTCCCCAGAGGGAAGCTAGAGCTTATAACAGATTTTTTCAGTCTGTGACCCCTAAAGGTTATCAAGCGACAACCATTTTCCAGGATAAAGTAGACACCTAAACACAGATATAGGGGATACCCTAGAGCAGACACCCACATGTACCCCCTAACACCCATGCACACCAGTGAGGGTAGTTACCCTTTTGTGCCCCTGGACCTAAAGAGGGGAGCTGCACCTGTCACTGGTCTTTGTAGCACTGAGCTTTCCAGTGGCTGGGACAGCAGAAGCTGACCCTAGATCCTACCTTGCTTTGGTCTGTGAACAGGTGTAGGGGCTGAGGCGAAGGCTATGGGCCAAACCTTGGGGTCACTCCACCTGCTGAAGAGAGGGAGGGAGAAACCTAAACACACAGCGCACCAAGGGAGCCTATGTACCAGGCAGAGTTGGGTGATGGGGATGCAATGGTGTCTGCTGAAAGGGAGTGGCTGCCAGACAGTGATTCTTCAGATCTTTGGGATAAGGGATATGGGGGAACCATTGACGGGGAATGACTTGGTTCTGGAGTTCAGAGAAAGCAGTTTTTGAGGAGCTGCCACTGTGTAAGACACGTATCTAAAGCACAGGAAGGCACTGCTGTGGTGGAACCAGGGAAGGTCACACCCCTATAGTCAGCCCCTCCCCCAGAAGCATCTAGTTCTGTCGAAAAGCCAGGGCCAATACTGACACTTCTCAGCATAGGCAGACTACTTGCACACTCACATATACATTCATACAGCTACCCCACACTCACAACATGAGCACACACACATTCATAGCCGCTTCACACTCACCAGCATGCTTACTACACAGCCATTCCACACTCAGCCAGTGCGAACACTCATATTCGTACCTACCCTGTACCCAGTACCCTGTACCCAGTGTCCACATTCACTTGCTCACTTACACTCCCCCCATATGCTCATTCGTGTGCTCACTTGCACACACTCACCCAACATACATTTCTACTCATTCACACCATCCCGCAGTCACCAAAATGGATACTCATGTGCTCGTCCAAACCCATACACACTCACGTTCAGCAGCATGCACATGCTCACCACTTCCTACACTCACCCCACGTGTACACTCAGGTGCTTGCCTCCATCCCACAGTCACCCAACATATACACTCTCTCATTCACACCTAGCCACGTTCACTAAACATACAGTCATTTACAGGCATCCACAGTTGCCAACATGTACACTCACATACTCATGCCATCCCACATTCAGTCCACATTCACCAACATGCACACTCATATGCTCACGCTCAGCCCCCCCACACGACATGTACATTCAAGTGCTCACCCACACCACAAGCACCCAACATACATATTTGTAAGCTCACCCAACTCCTCATTCATCCAACACATATCTTCACATGTTCACCCCCACGCCCCCATGCTCATGCAATTCACACATGTGCTCAGTCACACACCATACCCTCACACTCATTAAACACTACTCACATGTTCACCCGTATCTACATTTGTGCACTCATACATGGCACATGCTCACTCACACTCACAGAAGGTCACTTACACATATTTCCTCACACTCATATAAGCTAGCCTGCATTCATTCATCCACACATGCCTATTGATTCACAAAATCACTCATCATCATTATCATCATCATCATCTCTTTCTCTCTCTCTCTCTCTTACACACACACAGGGGGGGTATTCACACATGAGTACTTAGACAGTTACTTTCCACACTAATTAATGCTCACTCACTTTCCCTCACACTCCTGTTCACATGTTTGCTCACACACTACACTGTCCCCATTTCCCCTTTCTTCTGTCTATCCTCCAGGTGAGAGCTCCCCCCACCCCCAGCACAGTGTCATTGGCTCTACTGGAGGATCCATGGCTGTCTTGGAACTTGGGCATGGTTGGAATCAGCAGCTGGTTCCTTAGGGACTGGGTAGACTTCAGAGCCCCCAGTACACTTCCTGATTTCCATTGCCTAGAACAGGGGGACTAAGAGTGGAATCAGCCCCAGCTTCCCTGAAGGGCAACTCTGGGCTGCAGGCCACTTTCCAGTTGCTCTTCTTTATCACCCACATTCTCCATAAACAAGTGGAGGCTTGTGGGGGTCTTGATAAATCACCTAGAGAAAGTTAGCAAATGTGTCAAATGAGGGCAGAGGAGTGGCAAGCACAGGAACATGGCCTCCCTCCCCAACGATCCCCAGACTGGGTCTCCTTTGTGGCCTTTCACAATGTGGGAAGATCCCTGGTATCACTGTCCTTCTGTGCCAGTCTTGAGGGCCCTGGGTCCAGAGTGAGAAGAGGGGGGATCCAGTTGTTAGTGACCTTTGCTAGAAAGTTCTTTCTTACACCAAGCCCTGCCCCAGTTCCCTACATTGGAAATCCTTAGGGAGACAGATCCAGAGATGTCTATGACGGGGATAACCACTAGACGGACTCTCTGCTCCCTCCCTGTCCTTTCCCTCCTTTCCTCTTGGTCCTACCCTTACCCCCACTGTGTCTGAATCTGCCACGCCAGGACCTCGGTCCTCTCCTGTGCTTTTCATGCTACTCCTGGGCAATCTCACCTTAGCCTTAGAAATTTGCAGGAAGCAGTCAGCTGACCACCTTCCAGGCTGGTCTCCTCATGTCCAGCCCTTCTCATTTTCCTGAGTCCTCAGTCCGCTCTGTCACGACTACCAGCCACCCCCACTCTATGGACCCTGTGGCTACCCACCTTGCTTCCTTTTGGCCTCCAGGTCATGTCCCCTGCTTGTTCAACTTCACTTCTGCCACTTAGTGTGATTGGCACAACCTCCTCTGGAATGGCAGTTTCTTGGTCAGGTCCAGAGGCCCTGGTCCCTTTGGTAGACACTGACCTATCCATCCCTTTTCATGTCTACTCTTCCCAGGCTAACATCACAGCTCGTCTCCAATGTTCCAGGATCAGTATTCACCTGCAGCCATGGAGCAGATTGACAGGAACCCAGAGAGTCATCCGGGCTGATTGCCATTGCTGGAATGGGCTTTATTTGAAACTAAGGTCATTGCAGATGTGACTAAGTGAAGAATGGTGAGCTGAGAAGATGTTCTCTGGTGCTTTAGGCAGGCCCCATGTACAATGACAGTATCCTAAGACAAGCAGAGAGAAATTCCCAACACATATAGAAATAAGGGACTGTGAACAAAAGAGGCTTAGTGAAGTAACCACAAGACAAGGAGTTACCAGGAGCTGCAAGAGGCACGACCTTATCAGGAAGTACCACCCTGCCAACATGAACCCTGAACCATAAAAGAATAAATAATACTGTTTTTCATCAGCTGCAATAATTGTCACAGAAGTCCAAGGATCCTCATATAAACCCCAACTTAGTTATCAAGGAGAGTCTTCTTTCAAAGTATTGTCCACTGCATAACCCGCCACCTCCCAGCCTGCTTAGCCTCAATAGATCCCACACTTGGTACTTTTGAAAAGCTCTGATCAGCTATGTTTTGTGTGTGTGCATATGTGTGTGGGTTGCATACACATATGCACACAATGACACCACTTCTCTTGAGCAGGGACAGCTCACTATCTAGGGCACTGCCCTCTTCCCTAGTCGCTCCTTGTGCAGTGGGCACCGGGGCCCTTCATCACCAGGCTACCTTGGATTCTATGGGTCCCCAAGGGAAACAAGGGCTCTACCTTATGTATCCAGAATAGAATCTTTACCTCTTCCTATGATCTTTGTTTTCCCAAGAGATCCCAGAGTGCATAGGAGAGCCTGGAACCCATGGGAAGTACCTGGAACCACACTTTCAGAGCAGCCCTGTGGCCCCCACTCCAGGTCCTTCACCTCCTCTGCTCAAGCCCTTCAAGGAGAGATCCCCCTCCCAGGGGCCCTGTTTCCATCTAGGCCCTGGTCCAGGATACCTGGCCAACTGCCTCTTCTACAAGATCTGACTTGTTTAAACCTAAGCAGTGGATTTGGCTTAGGCTCCAGCTGGGACCCACTGAATGCAGAAGGCACCTGACCTGTAGTTAGTGCTCAGAAAAATTCCTTATCCTAGACCCATGCCAAGGCCACTCCTTGGCAGCTACCTTGTTCATAGAATAGCTGTTTCTAATGGCACACATTCCTATGTACTCTGTGTATGTACTTCTACATGCTCATCTATTTGTATCTATTTGTGTGTTTCTCTCTATGCAGTGCATGAATGGGTATGCCTGTGTAGATATGTTTATTTTATATGTGTGCATGTGCACATGTGTGTCTATATTATGTATCA